AACCATCCACAAGAACAGACTCTTGGGTTATTCTCAAGAGAAAATCCTGAATGGATGAGAAATTGAAAGTCTCTAAATTGTTGCCCGCGTACCACGGGACGGTGTCGCTTGGCTCTTATGGACTGTCTACTTCAAAGGTGTACTATATCTTATTCCTAATGCTCAGGCCTATGTTGATAACTGCACTTTAACCTAGTTATGAAAGGGGGAAGTCATTAAACAGAGATTTCCGGCAATATGTTCCTAGAATAGGCGATGGCAGGTTACTTTTATGACTGATAAAACACAGGAGTTAAATATTGATATTGTATGATACTGCAACAAGAAAGTCCATACAGATGAGAGGCAAAAACCTAATGCTTAGTTACGAAGTTAACATCTTAAGGAGGAAGTATGACTCTCCAATGACCACGGAGAACCATTTGTTGAATCTAGTACACAAAGCAGCCAAGAAACTTGCAGCTCTAATACTCATCTCATACCTTCTCGACAGCAGTGGTTGAAAAACTATAAATTAAGCACAGGCTCGTCCCAAACTTGAGAATGCACCGCGGTGCTGGATGGCCTGCCAGGAGCACGGTTGGCCATATGGTCCGTTAACGGACAATACCGTTGCCTGTTACTCCAGTGTCACGCTGGGTTGTGAAACTTTTTCATATCTACTTTGCTGATTCCTTAATAAAACCATTTGTCAAGATTGAAGCCATCAGAATAGTGAATCTATTCATATATGAACACGTCCAATGTTGTTCCAGAGACCATAGGAACACATCCCAAAGTTGCATGGACACCTTCAGTATTGTTACAGGGTTCATATGAACACATCCAGCAGTGTTGCAGCTGTCGTACAGGAGCAGTGTTGCAGCTGTCGTACAGGAGCAGTCTTGCAGCTGTCGTACAGGAGCAGTGTTGCAGCTGTCGTACAGGAGCAGTCTTGCAGCTGTCGTACAGGAGCAGTCTTGCAGCTGTCGTACAGCAGTCTTGCAGCTGTCGTACAGGAGCAGTCTTGCAGCTGTCGTACAGGAGCAGTCTTGCAGCTGTCGTACAGGAGCAGTCTTGCAGCTGTCGTACAAGAGCAGTCTTGCAGCTGTCGTACAGGAGCAGTCTTGCAGCTGTCGTACAGGAGCAGTCTTGCAGCTGTCGTACAGGAGCAGTCTTGCAGCTGTCGTACAGCAGTCTTGCAGCTGTCGTACAGGAGCAGTCTTGCAGCTGTCGTACAAGAGCAGTGTTGCAGCTGTCGTACAAGAGCAGTGTTGCAGCTGTCGTACAGGAGCAGTCTTGCAGCTGTCGTACAGGAGCAGTCTTGCAGCTGTCGTACAAGAGCAGTCTTGCAGCTGTCGTACAAGAGCAGTCTGGCAGCTGTCGTACAAGAGCAGTCTGGCAGCTGTCGTACAGGAGCAGTCTTGCAGCTGTCGTACAGGAGCAGTGTTGCAGCTGTCGTACAGGAGCAGTGTTGCAGCTGTCGTACAGGAGCAGTGTTGCAGCTGTCGTACAGGAGCAGTCTTGCAGCTGTCGTACAGGAGCAGTGTTGCAGCTGTCGTACAGGAGCAGTCTTGCAGCTGTCGTACAGGAGCAGTGTTGCAGCTGTCGTACAGGAGCAGTACTCACCTAGTTGTACTCACCTAGTTGTGTTTGCGGGGGTTGAGCTCTGGCTCTTTGGTCCCGCCTCTCAACCGTCAATCAACAGGTGTACAGATTCCTGAGCCTATCGGGCTCTATCATATCTACACTTGAAACTGTGTATGGAGTGAGCCTCCACCACATCACCCCCTAATGCATTCCATTTGTCAACCACTCTGACACTAAAAAAGTTCTTTCTAATATCTCTGTGGCTCATTTGGGCACTCAGTTTCCACCTGTGTCCCCTTGTGCGTGTTCCCCTTGTGTTAAATAGACTGTCTTTATCTACCCTATCAATCCCCTTCAGAATCTTGAATGTGGTGATCATGTCCCCCCTAACTCTTCTGTCTTCCAGCGAAGTGAGGTTTAATTCCCGTAGTCTCTCCTCGTAGCTCATACCTCTCAGCTCGGGTACTAGTCTGGTGGCAAACCTTTGAACCTTTTCCAGTTTAGTCTTATCCTTGACTAGATATGGACTCCATGCTGGGGCTGCATACTCCAGGATTGGCCTGACATATGTGGTATACAAAGTTCTGAATGATTCTTTACACAAGTTTCTGAATGCCGTTCGTATGTTGGCCAGCCTGGCATATGCCGCTGATGTTATCCGCTTGATATGTGCTGCAGGAGACAGGTCTGGCGTGATATCAACCCCCAAGTCTTTTTCCTTCTCTGACTCCTGAAGAATTTCCTCTCCCAGATGATACCTTGTATCTGGCCTCCTGCTCCCTACACCTATCTTCATTACATTACATTTGGTTGGGTTAAACTCTAACAACCATTTGTTCGACCATTCCTTCAGCTTGTCTAGGTCTTCTTGAAGCCTCAAACAGTCCTCTTCTGTTTTAATCCTTCTCATAATTTTAGCATCGTCCGCAAACATTGAGAGAAATGAATCGATACCCTCCGGGAGATCATTTACATATATCAGAAACAAGATAGGACCGAGTACAGAGCCCTGTGGGACTCCACTGGTGACTTCACGCCAATCGGAGGTCTCACCCCTCACCGTAACTCTCTGCTTCCTATTGCTTAGATACTCCCTTATCCACTGGAGCACCTTACCAGCTACACCTGCCTGTCTCTCCAGCTTATATACCAGCCTCTTATGCGGTACTGTGTCAAAGGCTTTCCGACAATCCAAGAAAATGCAGTCCGCCCAGCCCTCTCTTTCTTGCTTAATCTGTGTCACCTGATCGTAGAATTCTATCAAGCCTGTAAGGCAAGATTTACCCTCCCTGAATCCATGTTGGCGATTTGTCACGAAGTCCCTTCTCTCCAGATGTGTTACCAGGTTTTTTCTCACGATCTTTAGATACGACAGCAGTGTTGCAGCTGTCGTACAGGAGCAGTCTTGCAGCTGTCGTACAAGAGCAGTCTTGCAGCTGTCGTACAGGAGCAGTCTTCCAGCTGTCGTACAAGAGCAGTCTTGCAGCTGTCGTACAAGAGCAGTCTTGCAGCTGTCGTACAAGAGCAGTCTTGCAGCTGTCGTACAAGAGCAGTCTTGCAGCTACCGTAACATTTTCACTGCAACTCAGAAAATATCAGCTGCTGCAATGTCGAAAATATAAAACTTTAATGTTTTAAAGCTAGAACCAGGAACACCACCACCACCTGACACCACCAACCAGGAACACCACCACCACTTGACACCACCAACCAGGAACACCACCACCACCTGACACCACCAACCAGGAACACACCCACCACCTGACACCACCAACCAGGAACACACCCACCACTTGACACCACCAGCCAGGAACACACCCACCACCTGACACCACCAACCAGGAACACACCCACCACCTGACACCACCAACCAGGAAGACCACCATCACCTGACACCACCAACCAGGAACACCACCACCACCTGACACCACCAACCAGGAACACCACCAGCACCTGACACCACCAACCAGGAACACCACCATCACCTGACACCACCAACCAGGAACACCACCACCACCTGACACCACCAACCAGGAACACCACCACTACCTGACACCACCAACCAGGAACACCACCAGCACCTGACACCACCAACCAGGAACACCACCAGCACCTGACACCACCAACCAGGAACACCACCACTACCTGACACCACCAACCAGGAACACCACCACCACCTGACACCACCAACCAGGAACACCACCACCACCTGACACCACCAACCAGGAACACCACCACTACCTGACACCACCAACCAGGAACACCACCAGCACCTGACACCACCAACCAGGAACACCACCACTACCTGACACCACCAACCAGGAACACCACCACCACCTGACACCACCAACCAGGAACACCACCACCACCTGACACCACCAACCAGGAACACCACCACCACCTGACACCACCAACCAGGAACACCACCACTACCTGACACCACCAACCAGGAACACCACCAGCACCTGACACCACCAACCAGGAACACCACCACTACCTGACACCACCAACCAGGAACACCACCACTACCTGACACCACCAACCAGGAACACCACCAGCACCTGACACCACCAACCAGGAACACCACCACCACCTGACACCACCAACCAGGAACACCACCACTACCTGACACCACCAACCAGGAACACCACCAGCACCTGACACCACCAACCAGGAACACCACCAGCACCTGACACCACCAACCAGGAACACCACCACTACCTGACACCACCAACCAGGAACACCACCACCACCTGACACCACCAACCAGGAACACCACCATCACCTGACACCACCAACCAGGAACACCACCACCACCTGACACCACCAACCAGGAACACCACCAGCACCTGACACCACCAACCAGGAACACCACCACCACCTGACACCACCAACCAGGAACACCACCACCACCTGACACCACCAACCAGGAACACCACCACTACCTGACACCACCAGCACCTGACACCGCCAGCCTAGTGTCTGGTGGTGGGTGTGTTCCTGGAAGGCAGGAACACACCACCACCTGACACCACCAGCCTGGTGTCTGGTGGTGGGTGTTCCTGGAAGGCAGGAACACCACCAGCCTAGTGTCTGGTGGTGGGTGTGTTCCTGGAAGGCAGGAACACACCCACCACCTGACACCACCAACCAGGAACACCACCACCCCCTGACACCACCAGCCTAGTGTCTGGTGGTGGGTGTTCCTGGAAGGCAGGAACACCACCCACCACCTGACAACCCCTCGCTGACACTCGGGGTTCGTGACCCGGTCACTCCGTCAACAGCGTGAGGTGAGCGCCAAGCTTCTGGTTGTGAAGGTGGTCGTGTCCAGCCCCGTTCTTCTTGTCTCCGCTAATATTATCGTGTTTTATTGTTACTTCTTCCTCCGTTATATCCAACCTCGTTGAGGGCTTCACCTACGTGTGTCGGTGACGCGTCCTCCATTACTGAGAAACTCCGCCCTCTTCCTCTTTTTCATTCATTCACTTTCTCACTCATTCAACAGTCGCCTTCTCGTTCACTCGCCTTCTCATTTATTCATCGCTCGCATTCTTATTTATTCACTATTGGTTATTAATTTATGGGAAATTTGTATTTATATTTCATTACTCCTTGTTTCTGTCTCCAATAATTATCTCCACTATCTTGACACGTGTGTGTCAGCTGCCTCAGGCACACACCTGCATCATACTGACACGTGTGTGTCAGCTGCCTCAGGCACACACCTGCACCATACTGACACGTGTGTGTCAGCTGCCTCAGGCACACACCTGCACCATATTGACACGTGTGTGTCAGCTGCCTCAGGCACACACCTGCACCATATTGACACGTGTGTGTCAGCTGCCTCAGGCACACACCTGCATCATACTGACACGTGTGTGTCAGCTGCCTCAGACATACACACCTGCACCATACTGACACAGCTGCCTCAGACACACACACCTGCACCATACTGACACAGCTGCCTCAGACACACCTCCATGGGATGTATCCTCCGCAGACCTCCAAAACCCAACATAGTCAGGTACTGGTGACAGTTCGCTGAAGCGTCCAGCATACGTCGTAATTCATCTTTACCGAGAGATCATATATATACACCCAAAATATTTACACTGTGGTGACAACCTAGCCCGCGATTCCCAAGAGGACAAATATGGGTCAAAGTGATCCACTTTCCTTCTTGGAGCCCGCGTGATGGGTCGGCCTTAAGGCGCGTGACCCAGTACTGGGCCACAGTAACCGGCTCACCACTGTCAATCGATATGCTCCGATGCCAACACGCCTCCATGTCACGCCCCTTGCATCACTGTACACGGTCACTGTGCACGCGCTCTCCGATCGTTACTTGTACCCAAGGTCACTGTAGTGCCTTGGCGGTCACTGTACACGTTTCATGGTCGTTTGTGTAATTTAATCTGTGAGGTTCAGGGTAGTGAACGCCACCTTCCATGACGGCGTGTTTACGTTCTCTGGTTGCATGACACAGGCGAGTCAAGATAGATTGTGATCGTGACACATGCATGACAGAATGGTTTGTGTCATGGTACACGCAGGACACGATGGTTTGTGTCATGGTACACGCAGGACACGATGGTTTGTGTCATGGTACACGGTGGACACGATGGTTTGTGTCATGGTACACGCTGGACACGATGGTTTGTGTCATGGTACACGGAGGACACGATGGTTTGTGTTATGGTACACGCAGGACACGATGGTTTGTCATGGTACACGCAGGTCACGATGGTTTGTGTCATGGTACACGCAGGACACGATGGTTTGTGTCATGGTACACGCAGGACACGATGGTTTGTGTCATGGTACACGCAGGTCACGATGGTTTGTGTCATGGTACACGCAGGACACGATGGTTTGTGTCATGGTACACGCAGGACACGATGGTTTGTGTCATGGTACACGCAGGACACGATGGTTTGTGTCATGGTACACGCAGGACACGATGGTTTGTGTCATGGTACACGCAGGTCACGATGGTTTGTCATGGCACACGCAGGACACGATGGTTTGTGTCATGGTACACGCAGGTCACGATGGTTTGTGTCATGGTACACGCAGGTCACGATGGTTTGTGTCATGGTACACGCAGGTCACGATGGTTTGTGTCATGGTACACGCTGGACACGATGGTTTGTGTCATGGTACACGCAGGTCACGATGGTTTGTGTCATGGTACACGCAGGACACGATGGTTTGTGTCATGGTACACGCAGGACACGATGGTTTGTGTCAAGGTACACGCAGGTCACGATGGTTTGCGTCATGGTACACGCAGGACACGATGGTTTGTGGTCTTGGGTCATACATGACGGGATGGTCTGTGGTCTTGGGTCATCCATGACGGGATGGTCTATGTCTTGGGTCATACATGACGGGATGGTCTGTGGTCTTGGGTCATACATAACGGGATGGTTTGTGGTCTTGGGTCATACATGACGGGATGGTCTGTGGTCTTGGGTCATACATGACGGGATGATCTGTGTCTTGGGTCATACATGACGGGATGGTCTGTGGTCTTGGGTCATACATGACGGGATGGTCTGTGGTCTTGGGTCATACATGACGGGATGGTCTGTGGTCTTGGGTCATACATGACGGGATGATCTGTGTCTTGGGTCATACATGACGGGATGGTCTGTGGTCTTGGGTCATACATGACGGGATGATCTGTGTCTTGGGTCATACATGACGGGATGGTCTGTGTCTTGGGTCATACATGACAGGATGGTCTGTGTCTTGGGTCATACATGACGGGATGATCTGTGGTCATAAGAACATAACAATACAAGACTCAGCAAGTGACATATTGGAGCAGGTATGACAGGACAGAACATATGGGATTTATACCATTTGGAGATCATGTACAACCAATTATGTGAGACGTAAAAGGTAAGAGGCGCAGGTCAACAACCTAAACACACAATGAGGTGAGGAGTAAGGATTAAAGGTTAGAAACATGGGTCAATAGCCTATACTTTTATGTGAATGGCATTCACATAATAATTGTAAAAGCAGATATGATAGGGAAATAGGTTAGAAGTAGCTTCTAGATCTTGCAATGCTAGGTCTTGCAGGCACAAATAGGCGAGTACAGTCTCACTGTCTCCACCCCCCCCCCCTCTCTCTTCACGGTCATGCCTTATCGTCAATGAAAGTTAAGAAAATCATCAAGACGCACCACACTATCAACTCCCCTCTTAGCCAACCATTCTCCCCTCTACTGCCCTGCCCTCCTTCCTTCCTCCTCCAACCCTGCCCTCCTCCCCCAACGACCCTCCTCTTACCCCCCAACCATTCTTCACTCCACTGACCTAGCGCTCCCCCGTAGTCACTGTTAGGTAAGTATTCTACATAATAACCATCCCCTCCTCCACTACACTCCCCACTCCCCCAGCCACACTACCCTACCCACTCCCCTCCCCCCTTCACTTCCCCTATCCCCTACACTATTCTCCCTAGCCACTCCATAAGCAACATTCCGTCATGATAACAACTGTATCACCTCTATATATCTGTCCAAGATTGGAGGCCAAAAGCTTGGCGTCAGATAAGGTGACACTGGTGATTGTGAGGGGACTGTGACAGTGGAGAGCGGCGTCGGCCCTCATACTCCCCCTACACCGCGCCCGTCTGTATAACATGTCCTCCCCACGGCCCCAATACTTCAGTGTTTGTTGATATATTTGTGTATCTATACATTCACCTGTAAAACGTGTGTTCAGATGGCACTTTGTGCTTCAGACGCGAGCTTATGGTTACAGTGATGTAATGTGTAGTGAAAATGGTTACAGTCATAGAGGTAGTGTGTAGTGAAAATGGTTACAGTCATAGAGGTAGTGTGTAGTGAAAATGGTTACAGTGATGTATTGTGTAGTGAAAATGGTTACAGTCATAGAGGTAATGTGTAGTGAAAATGGTTACAGTCATAGAGGTAGTGTGTAGTGAAAATGGTTACAGTCATAGAGGTAGTGTGTAGTGAAAATGGTTACAGTGATGTAATGTGTAGTGAAAATGGTTACAGTCATAGAGGTAATGTGTAGTGAAAATGGTTACAGTCATAGAGGTAGTGTGTAGTGAAAATGGTTACAGTGATGTAATGTGTAGTTAAAATGGTTACAGTCATAGAGGTAGTGTGTAGTGAAAATGGTTACAGTCATAGAGATAATGTGTAGTGAAAATGGTTACAGTCATAGAGATAGCGTGTAGTGAAAATGGTTACAGTCATAGAGATAGTGTGTAGTGAAAATGATTACAGTGATAAGGAGAGACCAGGAAGGTGTTGGAAGGGTGAAGAGGAGGGTGCGGGGAGTGGTATGGTAAAGAGGGTGTTGGGGGAAAATAGGGTTGGTGTACTTGGGTAGAGAGAGGGAGGGTGTATGTGAGGGGAAGGATAGGGCAGGGGGGTGTGTAGGGGTGCCAAGCAGTCCAGGAGGGGAGGTGCTGGGAGATAAAAGGAGGCTGTGGTGACACACGGGGAGGGGGTGTGAGGGAGGAGGGAAGGGGGGGGGAGGGTGTGAGGGAGGAAGGAAGGGGAGGAGGGTGTGAGGAAGGAGGGAAGGGGAGCTGGTGTACATGGGGTGGAGATGGGGAGGGGAGGCAAGGTTCACAGGGTGGTGGTAAACTTCCCCCGGTGCACAAAGTAGTGATATATTTCCACGGTGCATAGGGTATAGGGGGCATAGTTTACGGTGTTAAACTGCCCCAGTATACTGGGTAGTGGTCAACTGCTCCGGTAGTTGTATAGTGTCCCGGTACACAAGATTGCTGTAAAGTGTCCCGGTACACAAGGTGAACTCAACTGGTAAACAAGGTTAAGATCCCTGGGACAAGATAAACAGTCCCGGTACACAGAGTACCGTGATACACAAGGTAAACTGCCGGTACACCAAGTGGGCCGGGTAAGTATACTGAGGGAGGGGGGCGGCGGGCCCGGGGGCCGCCTCCTGCAGCATCCCCCCGGCGTGTGGACCTGTATGGTGAGGCAGCGACGGTTGTCTCGTGTCGGGGGGCCCAGAGCCCGGTGTTAGGGGCCCTCCCTGGCCCCGTGGCCCACCTCTCCACAACACTACACCTACAGCTGTTATTTACACCAGCCCTGGCCACGCTCAGTGTGTTATACCCGCGCTTAATAACATCATAACAATTCACTTCACAAGATAGAGTCAGATTGTCTCTCACGCCCCGTCAATTGCCCCCTTTCTGACCTCTCCCTTCAGGGGTCGACGGAGTAAAGCTGGAGCTTTCTCAAAACAAACTGAATTACCATTTGTGTAAACATTTTTAACACAATGCTCCGCTTTGCAGATCAGTAGAAGCGTGGTACATGCCTATCTACTGCCAAAACGTAAGCTTAGTTTCATAAGCGTCGTCGGACACCGGGGTAATCAGCGAGCAGACGACACTCCTCTCGCGCCGGCGTCGCT